AGCATTGCCAGCGAGAGATGCCACAAAAAAGGGGAGCGATGGGTCACGTGCATATAAATCAATCGGCATGTGGAATTGTATTCTATATTTCATTTCATTCCATCAACATGGGCCCCCTCCTTCCAACTCCTGTTGGTTTTTCTGCACCGCCGTCGAGTCACCCAATCCGCGAAAGTCCTGCAACGTGGAGCTTACAGCAACGTTCGGTGTTCGGCGGGCTTTTGTCGCCTTTTGTTGGGTCCTCAAATTGCTGCCAATTTGTTTGTGGCTAGCTACCATTTTGGTCGTTTCTTTCCTTCGCTCCCTCGGTTTTTATTTTCCCAACCAGCCAGCCAGCCAGCCATTGTCCATCTATGGGGTTACCATGGGTGTTTGGGTTGCGTTTTGGGGTTCGGGTGGGGTCGCTTTATTTTTTTGTGGCCCCCTCCAACGGGCATTGCATTTTGTATTTCGCATGTATTTTCCGGAAAAGGGAATGGGTCTGCAGAATGGGACTGAGACTGGGTCCCGGCTGTCGCTGTCGTTGTCATTTGAGGTCAGTTTAAATGGTTTCCTGTCAGTTGCGGTCTTCGGTTTACCAGAAACGGCCAACAGCAGCAGCAGCGTCAGTTCTGGCCATCATTTTGCATACGTCGCACAATATTCAATAAAGTATTCATTCATATTTCTGCTGGGATTTTTTCCCCGTCTGACTGTGTTTTCCCCGGCTGTCTCTGGCAATAACTCTTCAAGTTATCGCTCTCTTCATATTTCTGTTTGGCCGTAAAACTTTTCCAACCAATTGCGATTCTGTTGCAATAAGTGCAATGCTGCACCGAATACTATATATGCGACGGCCTTGCAGTACGCTCCAGTTGCAAAGACATCTTGCCTCTTGTGCCACCAATGGCCTCCAAAAAAGCAGGCGAGCGACAACGAAATAAAAGAATCGCTTTGCTCGGCCGCATAATTAAGCGCATTTTCTTCTGGCATGAAAATGAACACCTCAAGGTGTTGCTGTTGGAAAATGCATTGAATTCAATACGACAGGCCGAAATGAGATTGTGGCATCGTGATGTTGCTGCCACCGCCACCGTCGCTGAATGCTGCTGCTCATTTACGTTTTATTTTATGCCACAAATACCACAAGAATTGCAACACACTCGGAGCCATGGAGCTGGAGCTGGAGCTGGAGCTGGGAGCTCGGTGTGAATGTGACTGTGACTGTGACTATGACTGACTGACTGGCGACGACGAATGTGACACCGCGGGTTAGCTCAAGTGGAAGTGCAGCAACATAACAGCAGCAACATCAGAAGCCCTATGCATTTGCCACGTTGTTTCTTTCTTGGTTTAGAGTTTATTATTCTATCCTCACTCAGGGTATTTCAAATTGCATCAAAAATTGGTAAGCTGACATCTCAGATAGCTGGAAAAGGTAAGAAATGCACATGTACGATATCTATATCTAAGTTTTGTTAGAGTTTAGAATTCAATCAAGCTCTAATAGAAATCCCTGATCAATTCACTTTATGGTGATTACAAGAGTTTCCTGTTATAGCTGCTGTTAGAACATCTCGTCAAAGGGTATTCTTCAGTTCTACTTGCTGAATTACCCTTCCTTTCTCGGTTTTTTGTTCTGCATTTTTATTTTTTTTTGGGCCAAGCACTTGAACATGATAGGAGCTTAGCCAAGTCAGCCAAGCCAAGCGGAGTTTTGTGGCAGCCAAACACGTAAGTGGCACATGCGCGGCGTAAAATTGCAAATGCCAGCAGCAGCCACTGCGTTAATAATACGGCTGTCTAGCTGGAGAGGACCATGGCCAAAAACCAGAAACAGAACCAGAGACACAACCGGAGACCGGGCTGGGTCTGTTGGATACCTGACGCACCGCATACACACTCTCCGACCTGTCTCTCTCCGCCTTCCGATCTCGATAGCATCCCTTTTTCGACCGTCCCATGTGGCGTATGCGTAATGTTGCCTGGACAGCTGACATGGTGATGCCTTCCTCCCCTGTCCTTCCTGCTTGCTTCCACTGCATCCGATTCGGCCTTTTTGGGGTCAGGAACATCAATCGGAGTGGAGCGGAGAGTGTGCCCGAGCATTCATCAATTTTGATTGATGGGGAAACAATTATCGAATTGATAGGGATATCTTTTCATTGAGTCGCAAAGTGGGTCATTAAAGCGAATGGGGTTTGGTTTTTAGTCTGTGCATTCGGTTTATCTTGTTGTGCATCTGTCATTGCTTACACTCAAAAAGGGGGGAAAATTTATAATTAATTATGAAAGAGAATGAATTTGATGAAGAATATAGTTTTATCTGAAAGATTTATTGGTTTAAACCATATTTTAAGCCTTATAATCAAAGTCGATGGTTTTTAGATTGTACCAATCAAGGAAGTTAATTTAAACTATAGGAAATTCTTTTATTTATGTTTTATTCAATGATTTATTTACAAAAATATCCGGATTGTGATGTGATTAATTGTATTTAAGCTAGAAAGCAATTATGTGTACAGCATGTCCTTTGGCAATGAGTTTGTTATCACTCCTTAAGGAACCGAGGTATATTCCTGTGAATTACCATTCATCACAGCGACTCTCCTAACCAGTCTTTGTATGTATATTAATCAATATTCCCTTCCTGGTCGCCGCGTCCAACGCTAATGTACCGATCTGAATTGCCTGGCGTTGACAGTGGAGAGTGGACAGAGCCAGGTCCTGTCCATAAACAGAGTGACATGGCAGCCAATTAATGTCTTCCATGTCACGGGTTTGCTAACCATTTCCCCGCATTTCCCTGCCAGCCGGAGGAAGGACTGGAGAGGAGCACTAACGAACCCCGTCCTCATCATCGTCGTCGTCTTCTGTGCCAAATGGGCAATTTGTTGTCGTTTATATAAGGCGCATTCTGTGCATTTTCATTGTTATTATTGCGCCATCTCTGGCCCTCTATTCCCATCTCTTTCTCTAGGTCTACAGCTGTCTCTTTCTCTCTCTCTCTCTCCCTCTCCCTCTCTCTTTCTATTGCACTTCTTTGGGGCACTGCGGTGTATATTAATTTTGATGCTGGGCCAGAAAAGTGCACATTTACATGCAAAGCGGCATTTGTAATTTGTGGACTCCAACAGCCACGCCCCCTTGAGTGGGAGTACAATATATACTTAACTTTATATGTGTGGCAGATACTAGACTGTAATTGAGTTCACGTCATGTGCTGTCGATGTGAGTCTCAGTCTTCATTTCCTTTACCCATTTTCATATGCCTTGGCCTAAAAATGCTGAGCATTGCACTTAAAAATATTGTTGCACAAGAAAAACAAACCGAAAATCTCTCGCGGGGCCAGCTTAGCGCAAAAAACTACTTTTACTACTAGCAGCAGCAGAAAAAAAACGAAAATGTATTCTATAAATCCGCACTTATTCCCAAAACAATAAAACGCGCAACAATTGCGCCCATTCGCCCTTAAATATGCAACAGCAGCGACGCAAAGGTCGTCGTGGGGCACTGGGGCATGGCTGCGGCAGGGGCAGCAACAGCTATCCCCCATATTAGGCAAGCCATAATTCAGCAGCGGAGGACGGGACGCAGGTCCTCGGGTCCGGTCCTCGAGTCCCTGCTAAGCCCACTCTTGTAGTCATTTGCCTGGGACCTAGACAAAAGACACCAAGCAGGAGTAGGAGCAGCAGCAGGAGCAGAGGCAACTGCAACACACAGAGAGAAAAGGATTTGAATATATCAAGTCTGACTAAATTTCTTCCATTCATTAACAATGTGATAAATAAATTGAAAAAAAAAAGGTTTAACAAGATATAAATTGAGTTTATTGTTTCTAAGTATTGGTAGATGGTTAAGTACATCTCAAATCTCCATTTAATACTACTTTTTTTTTATATTAGACCCTTTCAAATACCCTTCCCTTCCAGTATACACTATTAAATGAATACCTTATTAAGATTTCTCCCTGTACATTGGCAACAGAATGTATGCCAGCAATTTAGACAACTTCGTTGGGGAGCGCAAGGCAAGCTGGCTAAATTATCAAAAAATGGAAAAGCGAAAACAAAAACCAAAGGAAGCGATAACTTGGATCGCTGCTGGACCTACGGAATACGAGTGGGGGGGGGGAAGGGGGCACACAACGCTTAGGGGTTTGGGGGGTCTCGTCTCTGTTTTTCGGGGGGCGTGGGCACAACACACAAACACAATAAAACTTATTTACGAGTCACGACGGGGGGGAGGTTGGATGTTTGCTGCTCCGGCGTAGTTCATTGTAATGCACTTAAAGGGGGGTCTGACCAGGGGCTGAGGCTGGGAGGGGATAAACAAGATGCGCGCAAATGATATGCAAAAAAGGGGAAGTTTGGGTGGAAACGATTCGCTTAAAGGGTAAATGAGTGCGCCAGCGTGAGGCGCATGAATGAAAACGGGAGGGAAAACGGGTAGGGAAAGCGAGCAAGCTGCGGGAAAATCGGCGGGAAATGCAGCCCAACAGAGTAGCGACAGAGAGGCCAGGGTAATATAAATGAAGGCAACCAGGGGCAAGCCAGAGCCAGAGAGCAGCAGCAATAATATAATAACAACAGACACGAGCAAGTGCAAATGCGGCACTGAAAGAAAAAGAGATAAATGTCATGTCGCCCGTTGGAAGTGAATGAAGAAGCGCACCAATAATTGCAGACTTAATTGTAAAAAGTACACATGGAGAACACCCTATTGAAATTAGGTAATAGTTATTTTACACAGAGATCTTATAATAAATAAGATATATTAGATATTGAATACATCAATATACGCTCATAATATATTGTAAAAGAAGAATGTTTCATTCTTTATACTATGGATAATAATGTGGCATTAAACTATATAGTTTATAGAAAAGAATCATATTTAGTTTGATTTAGTATCGTTTTATTTAAAATATATTTGTTTACTATATCTATAAATACTTTTTAAGAAACCCTCCTCATCTATTTCCCATCTCACAACAGAACTCTCCTTCTTTTCTTTTCAGTTGCCCAGCGAAGAGAATCGGAACTCACTTGGCCGCAATTTCCCTTTTGGAAGGTAAGCGTAGTACCTTGTATCCGCTGGTAATGAGTCCGGCCACGCCTCCTTAAGTTTTAATAAGCGCGACCATTACGCATACGCCCCATTAGCGCGCGCAACATGCGTTCAACGGCTCAATTTTCGTTCAGTGCACACGAGGTGCAAGAGGGTCCAAAGAGGGGGGGTGACAGTGGGAGGAGAGATGAGGAGGAGGGGTGTAAGGTTTGGTGAAAATGGAAGGAGTTTTTACTGAGGTGGGAGTGGAGTCCTCGTCACAGTACGTAAAATTCTCAGTAGTCAGTGAAATTGCTCCGCTTCTTGTTTATTGTTGTTGCTACTTTGCTGCTTACAGAGATGTTCATTTGGAGATTGTTTTTACTGGATTTTGAGCTAATTTTGAATGAAATAATTAGGGTATTTCTCTCAAAAATAGTATAACTATTATATTGGGAAACAAATCATTAGTGAGTTTACCTAACTTCTTTGGTAATTTTTCAGTTACTTATTACATTACATATTTTTATATTATTCTATTTTTCTTTGTTACTATTCATCAATTTAATTGCTCTGCTAATATATCTTTAAGCTCCTTAATTTAAACATAAAATATTGACATTTATTGGCTATATTTGGCTAGATTTTCAATTGCAATGGGTCATCTCTGATGATTGCTCTTGGTGTTGCTCCTGAAAATGTTGCTGCTGTGGGTGTTGCTGCTGCTCCTGTAGCTCTTTCTGTTGCTGCTGCTTCTGCTGCCTTTATTATGGCGCTTTATTGTCGACTCATGGTGCATGGAAATTGCGCGAATCCAGGCACCTTCTCAGAGTCCAACGAATCCACCGCGTCCTCGGAGTCCAGTGAATCCATCGCCTCCGCGTTGCAGCATCTTCACCCATGTTCTCTGCAGCCCCCGTGGGCTTCCGATATTTATGGCCGGCAATACTTTGTACGATTATTTATTCGTTTCTTTGTTTGTTCGCGCGGCGGCGGGTCGAAAAACCATATGAGAGCGGCCGTCGCACAGTTGCAGATGCAAATTGTGGGGCTCATTAAAATGTACGCCACCGCCGCACCAAACTGAATGAAGAAATGGCGACTGCCAGGAGAAAAACAAAAAAAGAGAAGAGAAGAGAAAAGAAAAGAAAAGAAAAGAAAAGAAAAGAAAAGAAAATATGAAGGAAAGCAAAACAAACAATATGCATATCCTGCGAAGGACGCCAGCAAGGACATGCTCGTGTCCCCGTGTGTATATGCGGGGGGTAATCGTGCGTGTAATAAACGATAATCCATTATATATCAATTTTTATCGCACCCAAAGTCGGGCTAAGAGCATTGTCGGTATATTTTATGACTCTGACTCGGGGGCGTAAAAAGTTGAGTGGACGGGCTTAAAGTGGGCATGGTCATGTCCTTAAATTAAGTGTTTTCCCGCACGACGACTTCACATGAGATCTTTCCACTGGCCAAGCTCGATTGATTTTGAATTTATTTTTTAATACGCAGCAATAAAACTTATAAGTGTTAATTTTTAGTTGATTTTTGAAAAATTACTTAAGAACTTAAGCAAGATTTTAGGGATTCGTTTAAGATAATTATAAGTCTAAGAAGAGTTTGTAAAGAAAATACATTGGTGTTTCTATGTCTATACATGCAGTGATTATATTTATGTTCTCTGCCTTCAGCATATCATTTATTATAATATAAGTTATCAGTTCCAGGGCTTAATAAAAATTTGTAATTAATTCCTTATAATTACATATTCATTATAGTAAGATTCCTTCAAGTTCTTTTTAGTTATTTCAGTAATGATATGTTTCTGCAATCACTTCAAAAATCAGTTACCTTTCAGAAGACCACCCAGTGGATCATATAACCCCATTTGTTGTGCATGACTTCCTTTAGTTTCACGAGTAAATTAGCCATAATCCCATTGGCACTCATTAGCCGCTAATCAGAGGAGGGTTTGGGGAATAAAAAACTAGGAGGGGGCTAGGGAATTGAGGGGCTGATGACCGCAGGGCACAAAACTGTAACGAACTGAAATCAGTTTAACTGTAATGCGTCACGCCAAATCGTAGTTAGAGTTTTGGGTCTTAGGGGTCTTGGCCATGTGCCGAAAATTCCGGCCCAGAACTTTTGACAGTAACTGTAAATGCCAAAGCGTGTATTTTCTATACTATTTTTTTTCTCTATTTTTTCTGGCTACTAATTAGCAGCCGCAAAACTGACGCATCATCATCCTGCTCATCATCGAGGGCAAAACTCGATACAAGAGTTTGTATATATTGTGTATCGTGTATCGGGCGTCATTATAGCGCCTCGGAGTGACTCCCACCAACTGTTTGCATGTGGCAAGCGGGCCGTGGTTAATTAGGAAGCAATATTTAACGTTAATGCGAAATAAATCGCAGCCGGGCAGAAAAAGTCGATGGCGAGAGCGTCGGCGATGCCATGATGCCCCCAAGAAGTCGCTCACTTAATTATGTTGACGTTTATGCCGGCATCTGCCAGCCGCCACCCACACAACATGGTAGAATCGAAGGCGGCCCAGAGAACCCGCCAGAGATCCCCAGCGGTAATCATTATTAATGATGACTTTTAGTTTACAAGCTAATTATTTGTTACTGTTACTTCCACGGAATCGGGTGGGGAAAAAGGGGAAAAGGGGGCGGCGGACAGTCTCGAGTTGTACACTGAAAAATAGCCCAAGAATGCGTGGTAATCGTGTTAACTGGAAAGGGATTTGTTCAGAAAAGTTAACTAAGAAAAGATTACAACTTTTGCTAAATTTGTTGATGTCATCTTTATTTTTAGAACTATTTATTCTGTTGTATTATATATGAAAACTGCTTAAAGTCATAAACCTTTCGTAAATGTATTTAAAATATGTGAAATACACTTAATTTCTTAAATTCCTTTATGTAAATCCTTACTTTTCTCTGAGTGCTCACATGCCTGATTCTCAATTTTGAGCTTTCGGCGCCTTTCGCTTTGATATCGCGTCTATAATTAATTTATTATATAGCCTGGCAGCGCTCTGGTTTTTGTTTGAGCTCTTATTAATTACCATTTGGTGTGTGAAATTTTTGCATATTATGTTTTCCCTCAATCTAATCCATGGATTGTGTAAGCCGGCAATATTGTTGGCGTTCATTATTGATGGAATTGTTAACCCCAACGATCTGTGAGTAAACAATATGATCACAAATGGTAAGCTAAACGATGCCATAATTGCTAAAAATTTCAATTTATGGGCAGCTCAAAGAAATATACACAAAAGAAGTCAGAAGCCAACGAATACAAACTCTATGTTGTTTGTATGTAAATCAAATGAAACGCCCACAGAAACAAACTAGAGGTGGTGATAAATTAGGAAACACAAGCGAATCGGGGCTAACAATGGATGAATTTGGAAATCAATTCAAAATTGGGTCACGAGAATTGCGCAGACGCAACGGAAGTTGAATCACGTGGAGATTTGTGGATTTTAGAGTGTGGAATTTGCTAACTTTCATAGTTATTTGACCTATATTTTGAGCTATCATTTAAAAAAATTAAATTTACCTATTACAAATGCCAAGAAGTCACATCAAAATTTGCATAATTCATCGTTCGATGAACTCAAACAAACCGCTTTGAACTATTATGTACACACCAGTTAGTTATTATATAAATTTGCATTAATTCTGCTTCTGTCATGACGTACTTTCGCAGACAATTGTGTCAACTGTGACGAAATTATTTCCATGATTTGTTTTGGTCTTGTGTTTTGCAATTACGCAAACGCAAACGATCGCACGACGACAGGCAAATAATATAGAAAAAATATACCAAAAATCCACAGAAATGCCTGCAAAGTGCGTGGGAAGTGCTCAGCACGAAATCGAGGGGCCAAAATACAAAAACAAAGAAGCTCAGTGGCAAAAAATATTATTACAAAATAACCACAATACCGGGGCACAATGCAAGATGACGACAAATTAGATGCAGCAAAGGTAAAATTAAATAAAAATGCAATTAAAATGCACGGCAACTTGTGCGGCGGAAAGGAGGAGGTCGCCGCTCACGTTGGGAATTATTAAAACAATTTTCCCCGCTCCGTGTCTGCCTGTGTGTGTGTGTGTGACAACAAAACAAAAGCGAAAGTGTTGAAATATTTATGCAGAAAATGCACAGAAAAGCGAGCAATACAAGTGTCTCCAGTAATAGCGAAAAACAGTAACAGCAACAACGGCGATATAGTGATAACCGACCAACAACAAGTCGAATTTTAATTCGCATTTTTAATAGCGCCGGCAACGAGCAATGAGTTTTAGTTTTAGGAGGTAGATCGAAGAGTTTTCCTATGATGTGAGGGCGAGGTTTGAAATACTATTTTTCGTAATATTTTAGCTTATGAAAGAAGTAGGTGTTATGTCTGTGTTTTAAAAAAAACTAAAGACTTTAGGTATACTTATTTATATTTCTTTATTTGAACAGTACAGAGGTATTTAATGCCTTGTACTGACACCTTTGTTGCATAGATAGCTCTATTACTAATCATAAGTATAAATAAAAATGTGATACTTTTTATTTTTGTACATTTATATTATTTAGATTACATTTTTTATCCTTTTATAATTTTAGTTAGAAGCTTACAATACAGTGAAGAAGTCATTTCCGACCGTATAAACTATAAATAAACTTGATCAGCATCAACAGCCGATTCGATCTAGCCATCTCCAAGAAAAAAAATATTTTCAAAATTTTATAAGGGATTACATTGTTAAAATTGCCATTATCTTTAATTTAAAATTAGGTATGCAGATTTGTTAACCTAATACAAACTATCACTGGAAAGCTTTCCGAATTAAAATGAATCCCCATTTGGCTTAGTTATGAGTTTTTTAAAATTCGATTTGTCAAGCAAATTGTCATATAAAAATATCAATAAATATTAATTTAAAGAATGGGAATTTTTTAAGCTTAGTTCTAATTGATTTTCGATTCGATCCTATAATTCAATTTCATATCCTAGT